GGGCATCGTCGGGGTGGCGCCACCACGACGCGCTCCTCTGCGTCATGCGGTGCGCTGCCACTGCCAACGACGACGCAGCTGCGGCTTCCGCTGCGTGGAGTTACGAGCAGGTGGACGCCGCGACGGGCCGCACCCCGCTGGAGGAACTGTACGAGCAGCGTCTGCAGCGCATTCGCGCCGTCTTCGACGCCCCACTGCCGCCGCTGCCGCGCGACGGCAACGTCCACCCAGACTTTCTCGTCGGCTTCGCGCACTACCAGTACCGGCTGCGCGACCAGTACCGCGCGGTGCTTGCGCGATCGCTCGGTGTGCCGCTCACTGCGCTGCGGCTCTCCGTCGCGTGGAGCGGCCGCTTCGATGTGGCGCGTTTCAACCACGTGCAGAAGGTCTGCGGTGTGTGCATCACGGCAGTGGAAGAGCGGGAGGAGCTGCAGCAACGCATACAGCGGCTCCNTGCGCGCCATCAACGCGCGGCAGTCGGAGGCGCTGCTCGGCCTCCACATCGTGCAGGCAGCGGAGGCCATTCCCGAGGTGGAGTTTGCGGCGGCAGAGCGCGACACAAAAGCAGCGGAGCGGGTGCTGCAGTGGATGCGTGCGCATATCCTAAAGCCGCACCTCGTTGTGGTGCTCTACGGCGCAAACAGCGGAGGGAGTGTTCCGGCGGCGGGTTCAAGTGGGGAGGTTGAGCGGCAGCGAGTCTTCATTGAAGAGAAGTGGGTGAAAGCAATGCACCGCCGTCGCGTTGTGCCGCGTGTGCTGTCGTTCGTTGACCTCACCAAGTTACTGCAGGAGGCCGTGCAGAGGGGTGAGGTGGACGGCATTGGTGTGCTGCAGCGCCCCTCGGATGGGGCGGAGACGATAAGGCGGGAAAAGGAGGGGGATGAGGGGAGAGAGGCAACTGCGAGTGGTGGGAAGAAGACAAAGGAAGCAGATTCAACTGCTGCCGCTGCTTCTAGCACACCGCCGCCGCAAGACGATAAGGCGGGGCCCATTAAGTTTATGCCCCTGGACGATGAGGCGGCATGGCACGCGCTGCTGCGCAAGGCGGTGCTCCGCAGACACGCTGACGGTGCGACCCTTCCGTTGCTGTTCGTGCACGGCGAGTGCGCGGGTGGTGTGGGGGAAATGCGGTACTTGCTGCACAACAGAGAGGCCCTCGACGCGCTACTGCTGCACCCCAACGACGTGGCGTTCAAGAAGAAGTTCATGAGTCGCTTCCGCGCCTCCCACTCGCGATTGCGCATGGCGGAGGAGATGTCCGCGTGAAGTATACGTATCTGTTTATGGATGTCTCACTGCGTGGGTGTCTGTCTCTGTGTGTGTGTGGTTTCGTTTTTGTTTTTGTTTTGTTTTTGGAATGGCGAACTCGAATACCTGTGTACAATGATGATGCTTCTAATCCTTGGTGGGAGCGACGGCTTCCGGTCATGTGTTCTCTTTCCACTCCTGCTCCTCCTACTGTAATCGCGTACGCATTGCATCCCACCCAGCCTGGTGTGCACTGGAGGCGGACAAGGCGGAGAAGGGCTGGTTGTGCGCGGCGAACTAGTCACCCGCCGAGCGAGTGCAACAACTGAAAGACAAGAAGGAAGGGTTCAGCAACAGCAACAGGAGGACGAAGGCAGAGAATGGAAAAGGCGAAGAACGAGGTGACACTGGGGGCACGGCTGGCGACGCGCTACGCGCCGAAGCAAATTCTTTCCTCTGGCCTCTCCTGGGGCCCGCTCATAGGTGTCGACGAGGTGCGGCGCCTCTCCTACCGCTTCGCAGAGCGCAGCATCACGCACGACGGCGACCCCGCGCTGACGAAGGAGTGGCTCGTGCACTTCATAATGGAGATCATCGCCGAGAAGGCGAGCGTCCCTCCCTCCGATATCGATCTCGAAGATGTGATGAACTTCGACACGCCGCTGGTGGGCGAGGAGCAGCTGCACGTGTACCGGACGGAAGTGGCGCAGTGGCTCAGCTCCTTTGCCGTGCAGCTCTCACTGCACGACCCGCTCTGGGACGTGTGCGAGGCGAGTAACGATGAGCTCGTGCGTGGCGAGTGCGTGGCGAGCAACAGTTGCTGCAGCGCCCTCTACTTCGGTGCAAAGGTGCGGAAGGTGCGTGGTGGCAGAAGCCGCTCACTGAAGCGCGGGCTGGACATCACCGCGTCGTCGTCCTCGCTCGGCTCACACCGCAAGGAGCCGGTGCAGCACGAGATGGTGCGCTGGAGCGATCTGACGACAAACTTGGTGCGGGACTACGAGCACTTCCACCGATTCGATGAGAAAGAGCTGACCTTCACGCAAGTGCGCACGGCACTGACCTCAGGGCGGTCATCACCAACGCGCTCGTCGCGTGGCAAGGACGGGGCGGAGGGCGCCTGGGCAAAGGTGGCGCAGCATACGCGGGACGCCGAGTTGGACGCACTGATGGGGAACGAGATGCATGTGCACTCAGCGGACAGCATTGTCGTCTCGCCTGCCACCGGCCTCATCATCACCAGCTCCAAGGACGGCATTGTAAAGTTGTGGGACAGCACAACCGGTGCGTTTAGGCATAATCTCTACAACGCCGGCTCGGCGTGGGTGATTGGGATGTTCCTACTACCCGACGATGACTACATCCTCATTGCCACGACAAATAACCAACTGACCGTTCTGAACTTCCCGGAGGGAAACGTGATGCAGAAGTATCTTGGCTGCAACTCCACGGTAACGGCACTGCTAGGGGTGTCACAGTTGTCAGCGCTCAACGTGCAGCGTTACGGCATGAGGCCGGGCGAGTGCGGCACCTACCGCGTTGCCCTACACGAGGGCGAGCAGCCGGAGCAGTACCACCACCGCCGCCGCGAGGCACAGAATGACGTGTCGTCAAAGAATGTTCCCGCCAAACCGGTGGTGGGATTCCTGTCCCCCACAACATGCTGGTTTGAGTCCTTTTCTGGTATCTTCTTTTTCGGCACAGCCGACGGCCAGATTGGCGCATTCGACATCGCTGCCGACGTTCGGCCGAACGCGCTGCTGGCGGGGGCAAACACCAAGCCTGTGCGGCTGCTGTTTCTGCTGCAGGTGCACGTTGGGGCGGTAGTGGGCATATTCTACACGTCGTACGCCACCTCCGTCTTCAGCGCTGGCACGGACGGTTCCATCTACCGTACCGCCCTTGGCCCTGCATCGGAGCCGGTCAGCGAACCGCGACTTGTTGGGCACCCGTCGAAGCCGATCCGCATGATGCAGTGGGCGCCGCCGTCGAAGTACTTCATTACCATCCACGTTGACCGCCGCGTCGTGCTATGGGTGATCGGCCGCTACACCGACCCGCTGCACTACTTCCCCCCGGAGACACAAGAAGTGGTGAGTGCCGCACTGCACCCGCGGCGGCAGCGACTCGTGCTTCTGCTGTCGGACAAGACTCTCAAGGTATATGAGACGCACGGAAACAAATCTCTCACAACAATTCCGCAGCCGGCGCCGGAGCCGAACTTCACCGCGACGGACGTTTCTCGGCAGATGATGGAGCGCTCCGCTCACGACGAGGACGGCGTTGTGGCGTGGCACCCGTACAACTCCAATCTCATCTGCTGCCTGCGGGCAGCTGTTATCTATGAGCCAGCACGCAGCCACCTCGCCGGTGAGGGTGATGTCGAGTTGCCCCTCCCAGCACCTGAGAGGCAGCGCACGGCTTCCGATTCCTTTGACACACTCGAAGATAAACAGACGCAAAGCCTGGTGTCGTCAGCGGGACACGCAGCGTTGCGTCGCCTCCACTCTCACCGCAGCGGCATCGTGGCAGTGGCGGTGCAGAAGCATGCCTGGGACCTGCACACCTTCGATGAGGAGAGCTGGTGCGCATGGAGCCTGGAGACCGGTACACTGAAGCTCTGCGTCGAAGTCCCTCGTGCCGCCCGCATGGAGCACCTGCCGCTGAAGCGCGCCACGGTTGCCTCGTGCTCGTGGACGACGTGTGCACAGACACGGCTGATAACGGGTGGCCAGGATGGTTCGCTGGTGATATGGGACCCGGCAACCGGCGCCCCACTCGGCGCGGAGGCGCTTGCGCATGACACTCCAGAACAGTTAGACTCCGACGTGACGGTCATGTCGCACCGCAATGTGGTCATCGCCTGGAGCGCGCGCATGTGTCGCATCATGTTCGTTAATAGCGGCTGCATTCTCCCCAACGGCATCGAGGAGAGCAAGTCTGTGGTGCTGCGTGTGCCGTCGCTTGCCTCTGTGACCGCCTGTTGCGTCGTGCGGGATGCGTACCTGTGTGTGGGCACCGGTGACGCACGAATATATTTCTACAGCATTCAGGGTGGTGCCCCCACGCATGAGTGTGTGCTGCGGGATAAAAACGAAGAGGAACGGGGTGCCGTTGTGCACCTCATCTTCCTTAATGAGCAGAACCAGAACATCCTCCTCATTATACTCGACACGGGCATCCTCTTCGTGTACTCCTACGTTACTCAAACCGTGCTGCACCGCGTTCGGTTGGTGCGGCGCTTCGAGTGCCGCATTCGCAGAGTGCTGTACGTCCCCGAGGATGGCGTAGTTGTGTACGGCGACTCCGTTGGCCGCGTCCGTGCCCTCGACGTGTGCGGCTGTACGTCCGCCTCTGCGGACTTCCGTCAGACACTTATCACACGCCTCGTGTTCCAGGGCGCCACGGATGAGATCACAGCACTCGACTTCTTCACCGCCGAAGGACGGCGCTACCTCATTGTCGGCTCCCTAGACACCAGCGTGCGCCTCTTCCGGATCGACGAGAGCATCGGGGCGCAGTCGGCGCTCTCTTTGACGAGCCCGCAACGCGGTGCACCGGTTGGTGTGGTGTTCGTTGGGGTGTTTGGCCAAGACGTCTGGGACCTCCGCGACGTCGCGACGTACAGCCGCAACCCCCCGGTTGCGCCGCGTGTGTTGGCCGCCGCCACCGCCGAGGAGGAGGCGCTGCTGGAAAGCATCGTCAACACCGACACGAGGGTGGAGAGCGTTAAGAGCGCCCTCGAATCGCTGACGGATGAGGATGTCGCCGCTGGACGGGTGCGGGCGCGGAAGAACACAAAGGCGGTGACGCCGAGCTCCAACCCCACAACGCCGCAGCCACCGGTGCAGCGTCCGTTCTTCCTGACAGACATACACCACGTGCAGGATGAAGTGGGGCCGTGCTACTCGCTCTCTTGTGTCTCGTCCACCGAAAGCGTCAAACCGCAACAGCAACAACAGCAGCAGATGCTTCAGGCCTCGCCGCTTCCTTCGTCCCCGATTGATACAGGCAACGGTAGTGGCGGCCTTCAGCACGTGTCACTTCCCAGCGGGCATTCGTCGCCGTCAGGCGCGATGGGGCGGCGTGCGCAGGGCCGGACAAAGGTATGCACACTGCCCCACGACACATCGCCGCTGTCGCACACCCTGGAGATGGTAGCGGGACTTACGCGGTCCGATCGTCGCAGTAACAGCCCACTGGAGCGCTCCAGCCCTTTGCAAACCTCGCTGACAGAATCCATTGGAACACAACGGACAAAAGCAATGCTGGCGGCCATGACACGACGCCTAGAGGCAGTGCAGCCGAAGGGACACGCCAAGGGTGAGTTTACCAAGAAGGCTATTGAGGTGTTGTTGAATGACACGGATACGTTGTGGCGGCGCAACAAGTCGCCGCACAGACGGCCAGGGAGTGAGGAGCTTCGGTTGGCCCTTGAAACGCGTCGCAAGCTGGCGGAGCGCATGGAGGAGTACAAGAAGCAACAGGCGGCACGGCGGATAGAAAAGAGAAACTCACTGCCGCTTGTCTCGGCGCGACAGCACCTAACGCCAGTCGTTATACCGCAGCCAAGCATCATCCCTTCCGATGCGAGGGCGGGTTACAACTGGATGCATGCTACTCCAACAAACGGGGTGGCGCGGAAGCCGTCAGCGGTGTCTGCATATGCGGGGAATCCCATCTGAAGTGGCTCAATGAACGTCATGTCATAAAATGAAGAAGCGATTCAGCTTTCTACTGAAACCGAAGATGTAAACTTATTACCTGGTGCTATGGCGGCAGCAAAAGCTACTGCTATCACTACTGGAACTTGTGCTATTTCTCTTGGCGCGCGTGGTATGACAGAACGTCAAGCAATTTTGCTGATGCCTTTTGCAACTACCCGTACGTCTCTTCGCATTACTTTGTGCACACCGTACACATTTTTCTTCTTATTTTCCCCTCGTTTTTTTTTTTCTCTCTGTGTGGACGGTGAGGGGCGGCACGGCACCCGTCTTCGTCTCTTGCTGCTGTTCTTGTTGCTTCTGCGTTCCCCTGTGCTCAGTGCGCACGTTAGTGGTGTGCGATGGCGTACCTCGTGCAGCGGCACACCGATGCCGACACCGCGTCGTCGCGGGCGAAAAAAGTCCCGGACAACGATGACGAGCTCTACCGTGAGGCCGTCGACTTCGCCGACGTGGAGCAGCTGCTGCTCGCCGACCCACGCAGCACCGGCTTCGCCCGCATCGCGGAGGACGCCACCGGCGGGGTGTCGCTCTACAGCCGCCCCGTCGAGGGCTGCCCAATGCACCTCATGCGCGCGGAGAC